CTCTCACTTTCCCTCTATTTCTGTCTCTCTCTAGATATTGCAAAATTTAAATTAAAAAAATGAGAATAATGGTAATTTTGAGACGGGAGTAAAGAGTGTGATTTGTCGGGAACCAGCAGTTAGCGTAATGGCTATGTCGCTGGACTCCCACGTAGCTGACCGCGGTGGCTTAAAACTCACGCCAGGTGGCTTAAAACTCACGTCGGGCACGTGTGCGTGCGTGCCGAAAATCCCAAGAGAAGAATGGAGGAGAAGGGACTGCGGCGTAACCATCCCCCCTGGGGGGTGATTTCTCGCTTTCTGTCTCTATGTCTCTCTCTGTCTGTCTGGCGAGCACAAGCGCCCTACAGCAAAAACCTCTCCAAAAAAAGAAAGAAAGAAAGAAAGAAAGAAAGAAAGAAAGAAAGAAAGAAAGAAAGAAGGAAGGAAAGGAAAGGAAAGGAAAGGAAAGGAAAGGAAAGGAAAGGAAAGGAAAGGAAAGGAAAGGAAAGGAAGAAAGAAAAAAAAAGGTGTGATTTGTATGGGAAATAAGAAGGGAATACTGGGGTTAGCTACCAGTTTTATTTTGTTATGGTTTTAATTTTACAATAAAAAGGTGTTTTCAAAATAGAAAAGGTTCATTGAACTTAATTATTGCAAAAGAAGTTTCAATAGAACTGTAAAAACAAGTTAGATTGCCCTGAGATAAGGAAAGTTAGAAGTAGAGACAATAAATGTATGATACTATTTCTAGAAGTGTGGCAGAGAATGCCATACGGCAAAAAACACTTCTCTTTTCCTTTTGCTCATTTCCTTTAAAATGACAGAAACTTAGGGCCATGGTGGTGAAGGCACTGGAGTCCCACCATGGTCAACCATGGTTTCAGTCCTGGATCTGGCAGCTGGAAAATCATGCTGGGCACATGTGCATGCATGCCCAAAATTCCAAGAAGAAAATGGAGGAAAAGGAATTACATGTGGTCATCCTCCCTGGGGATGATTTTTCACTTTTTCTCTGTCTCTCTGTGGTGAGTACACATGCCCCATGACAAAAACAAAAACAAAAAAAAACTTGAACAGAAAGAAAGAAAACAGAAAGAGGGCAAGGCTGGAAATGCATTACAGAGAAAGATAAATGACAGAGTAAGGTCTATGAATGAGCAGACTAAAGGGAACATGACCCAAAAAAATATGTAGCAGGACTGACTGTATGTATGAGGCTTAAAGTAGTCATTTCTGCAGAGACAGAGGAAAGGAAACAAAGAATGGGCTTTAATTAAGGGTGAACTTAGAGATGAAAGGCCTAGTGGCAGAAGTTGAAGAAATCTGCCACTCTGACTTCTATTCTCTCTGTGAAATAAAAAGGAGGTGATCTGCTTACGGAATTATGAGGTGGGAAACACAAGGTATCAAGTGATCATTTAAAATATCCAAGTGGTGTTAAAAGTTCCATAGAGCTTCATTTTCGACAAGATGGCCACACCATCAGTATCAGGAAGTGTTCTTCCAGCCATTCCAGTTCCAGCCCTGGCTGCTTGCTACTCCAGCCCCAGTCTCAAACCCAGCCCAGGCCCCCACTCCAAGTATGGTTCCAACTTCAACTCCCGCCACATCCTCATACACAGCAACAGCAGCTGCTTCAGCTCTGACCTTGGTGTCCACACAGGCCCCAGTGCAGACAGTGGTGCCCTCACTAACTGGCCAGTTCTCCCAGGGCCCTTCCCTAGCGGCTTAGTGGTCAGGCTGCACCCTGTCATTTTAGCCTCCATCGTGGACAGCTACAGGCAACACTGTGAGGGTGCTGCCCAAGTTATCGGGACCCTGCTGGGAACTGTGGACAAGCACTCAATGGAGGTTACCAATTGCTATTCTGTGCCTCACGACGAGTCACAAGATGAAGAGGCCGTTGACATTGAATTTGCTATGTTGTGTATGAGATACACAACAAAGGCTCGACAAATGAGCTCATCCTGTGCTGGTAGCGGCAGGCCATGACATCACAGAGCACTGTGCAGATCCATGAATGGTACGGCTGGGTGGCCCCCAACCCACTCACCTCACTGTGGACATGAGTCTTCAGGTGTCCCTGAGAGGACCACAGAAGTGATGTTCACACCTTTGACAGTGAAATATGCATACTATATGCATATTATGACACAGAACTCTTTGGTATTGGCTTGATCATGACCTCTTTTAGCCCCAATTCAGTGACTGAACTCTCAAGTGTCTTAAAGCAAGTAGGAGGGAACATCCACACACATCCAGGCTGGAAGCACAATGTTGCAGTATTAAGAGGATTTACTACCTGGAGGACAATACTGTGGGCTGGGCTTCTTAACCAGCCTGGTGAACCAAGTACCCAAAATAAGATCCCAATGACTTCCAGACTATAGTCAACAGCAACAGCAATGACCAGATGCAGGTAACCTACCTGGCCAATCTCACACAGTCACAGATTTGCCCTAAAGGAGAAACATAAGCTGGCCCCCAGCAGCCCTCCTGTCAGTCTGGGTATCAATTCTAGGACTCAGTATGAAGTGAAGATAAATACTTTCTTGTGGTCCTGAGTCACAGTGAGTCAATCAACTATTCATGACTCTAAATAAACATTGCCAATCCTTTATTAAAAAAAAAATACATAGAGATTGCAAAGTGAATTTGTAGAGACATCAGTCCATACGATTTGGTAATTTTCTTTAGCAATTTGAGTATAGAATTAAAGAAAGACATAGTTAAATTCATAAACTGTTTTTTCAGATAAGTCTAATTAGACAAGAGAGTTAGAATTGTTGATAGCAATCTGCTTGAGATCTCTATCTCAACCAGGGGAAGGAAGCAAAGAAGGGTACTAAAAATGAAGTGAATGGAGATGACACCAAGATTTTTGGCTTAATAGACACAATAAACAGGGCTTTAGGGATGGAAACAGATCTAGGAGAAAAGACAGTAAGTTCATTTTTAATATTTTAGGCTGCTATGTCCAGTTCTATTTGTGAATCTAGATTCATAAAATGGAGGTCAGACTTGAAAATACAGATTTGGGAGTCATCACTTTAAAGATAGTAACTGAAACTATGAAAATATAGAGAACAGAGGGAGAATTTTAAAAACTGAAAAAAGAATCCTGAAAAACACCCTGGTTTAAGAGTCAGATGGAGAAACAGTAGCTACCAAAGATAAAAAGGTCAGAGAGATAAGGAAAAGAAAAATCCAGGTGAGGGTGCTCCCAAGAGTCCAGGAAACATAATGGGGGAGTGATCAAAATATCAGTGCTACTGGGAATTGCCAAGATGATTGTCTAAAAGATGTCTTATTCTTCTGACCAACCAACCAAGGGTCCAACTATCTCGTGATGTTGGATCCAGATTGCAAAGAAAATACTAATGAAGTGTAACAGTAACTATTAAATGGAATCATTATTTTTGAAAAAAAAAAAGATGTCTTATTCATCTTCGTTTTCATGTGTCTAGGAAAATATGTGGCACATAGTCAGAAATCAGTAACTATAAAGTTCTATGTTGTCTCCATTCCAGTATCTGTAAGCCTCACTTTAAGAACTAGAAAGAAAAAAAGGCACATGTTCCATGCAGCCCCCATGTTTCTTCATCCTATTTCACTAAAAATCATCTTACAAAACAAGACACACTGACATTTCCCTAACCCTCATATGTCTTTGAGAATGGCTCAAAGCAAGCGGAAAAATTAAAATTTCCAAGGCTGGTTGTCAAGGCAGCCAGATCCCACATAACCGACAATGCAGTTCAAGTCCCTGACTCAATAGCTTGAAAACACGTCAGGAGTGTGCGCATGTATGCCCAAAGTCCTGAAAAGAGGAAAAGATGAAAAAGGAATTGCAGCATGACCATTTTCCACAGAGGGTGCTTTCCCCTCCCACTCGCACCCCTCCCTCCCTCCCTCTCTCTCTCTCTCTCTCTCTCTCTCTAGCACACACTTCCTTTAGGGGGAAAAAAAAATCCCTGCCACTTGCTCCCACATGGAAATGCAAAACTTCTAACTTCTTGAAAACTCTCCCCAACCCACCAAAAACACCCATATCTCCAAAACCCAGGATTTGTCTCACAGCTGTCATTATAGAGGGCTGCCATTATGCTATTTCACACCAGGCAGTTTAATTCCCCATCCTGCCACTTCAAGAGGCACCAAGGTCCCCTGCTAGGTGCCACTGCTCAAACCTCATCTCTCTCCAAGTGCTGGTGTCCTAGTGTTACTCTTCCACCAGGCACGTTGCCGAAGCCTTCTGTCAAGCATTGTGAGTCTTAACCGGACAGAAAGCTATAACTTCTCCTCCAAATACTGCTGTAGCTGCAACCCATAGATTGTCTATAGTTCAATCTCTACCATCATTTGGTTAAGCAGGTTTTATCCTTTCCACTGTGATTTCTTCATCAGCCTGTGAAATATTTTGGTGTATTGTTTCAATGGCAAGGGAGATAATTTTCCATTTTCTTATTTAATTCTGTTGTCACTGAACATGCTAGTGTTGGGGCTTGCTTTATGTTTCAGAATATGTTCGATTTGGGTATATATTCTATGTATATCAGGTTTCCTCTACTTCTAGCTACTCCGAAGAACTGACTTAAGTTTTAAAAACCTTGGACGTCCCTTCTGACTAAGTGTGTGTGATTCTAAGTACAAACTAACTGGTGAAGAAACCACTCTAGTTACTATTTTTCTTCCTGTTAACTTTTCCCCCCTTGATTTTTTCTCCACATGAGGCACCTATTGCTTCTAACTAAAAGCAGAAACAGGAAAAAAAAAAAAAAAAAAAAAAAAGGTAAACCCACTTGGCATTCCCCTGTGCAGGGCTCGGCTCTCCGCTGTCCCCGGTGCCGCCGCCGCGTGGCGTTCCAGCCGCCCGGGCGCACCCGCGTCGGCGTCCGAGTCGCCTCAACCCCGAGACCCACGAGAGCGAGGGGAGGGGCGGCCGCGGCGTGCTGACGTCAGAGAGGGCTGCGACGCCGCC